CCCCAAAAAAAAAAAAAACAAAAGAACCCGAAATCGGAAGAACCCTGAACTTAGGGTTTAGAGTTTAAGGCCTAAGTTCAGGGTTCATGGAGCTCTGATGTGGGGCAGTTGAGGATTTAGGGTTTGAGTGCGGCAGCTTTCTTCGTAAGGGACCTGCTTGCAGTCTCAGGAATCCCGAGAGTAAACTCAAGCTGGAGCGTAGAATTGGGGCCTCTGCATTTGCTGGGGCTTAAGCCCTGAATTAGGGTCTTTCCGGGGAGTTGGAGTGAAGTGGTTACCTTGGCTTCAACCGCTACACAGTAGCTACCTTGGCTTCAAACAGAACCTACATGGACTACAAGTCAAACATGCTTTCCACACTGACAGCGACCCCATACATCTGGAAGAACCCTCAGGACTTGCGAGGTTTCGACCCGGAGCTCCGCACCACACATCGGGGGTTTGTCGATGGTCTTGAAGTGCATACCGTCCGGTAGCCGTACAGGGTCTACTGTGGGTATAGGGTTTCGTAGGGACGGAAGCAGGAGAAAGACACCTAAGTAGTGGGACCCTGTCCCATGACGTGCAGATATTCATGTCGGCAGCTTGGCTGCTGGATGATGTCGGTGCACACCTTGTTCAGGAACACTGGGTCGTGCGAGATGACCATCCTCACAAGAAGTAATGTAAGGTTAGGTCCGGTTAGGTCGAGGGTCATCGAACAGAATAATATCTACTTTCCAGTACACGTGAACAGTACTTGCAGCGGCATGATAGGAGCAGTCTCAAGATTGTTGCACATTGCACGTGCTTTCGTTGCCGCCCTTCCAAGTCTACTCAGACGGTAAGACTATTGTTGCCCGTATGCAACCATCGGGCTGCAACGGCAATGGTACCGGATGATTTCGCAAGTTTAACACAAAACAGAAGACCGAACCCCGAACTTCGAACCTGCAATCTCAATCCCAAAGACCAAGCATAGAGACACAGCAAGCCAAACGAGTCAAGCCCAACAGGCAGAAGCCCAAATCCAAAAACGAACAAAACACCGGAGGCCCAAGTCGTAAGCTGCAGCCCTCCAAAAGCATGACGTCTCCAGACTGCTTCTGGGTGACAAGACCTCTCCCAGGGTTCGGTTTCGGTGCTTAGGGTTTCGGCTTCAGGATTTCGGGTGTGGGTTTGGGATCTGGGGTTTAAGTTTACGGTCCGGTATTGAAAAGCGGGGCGATACCTCCTTTTTGTTTTGGTGCAGTGACCCTTTCGCTCAATACCTCCTTTAGGTTTTAGGGTTTAGTAGGCGCTATTTACTCCCTACAAACCCCCACTACGAAACCCTACGGTTACCACAGCGCCAGGTTTCAAAGTGGTCTTCGTCATCGACCGCAGGTAGTTTGACAGCCACTCGACGGACTGCTTGTCCTGAGACGGAAGGGTTTTGCGCTTTTAGCGGCTTAGGACTGTGGGATATCCATCTGAATTTCTAACCCTTTTCGGACTTCTGTAAGGAAATTAGAACGAGGAACTCGATGAAGGTAGGTTATCTAGGGTGCAGGTAGAAGTTCAGAATTGGCAGGCCTGGTGAATTCCGGTTGCTCTAGCTATACTTCTACTTCCTGGCCGTTGATTTCTTCTACTACTCTCAGAAAATGTAGCTAAAACGGGTACCTGCCAGGGCGCACTATCTGAAAACAGTTCATGTGTTCAGGAGACAGAGACTCTCGCATGGCAGGAACTGTTCCAAGAATTAGCTTCGAAGGACTCGAGGTCTACTCCGAGGGCATAGTGCTTGCAGGGTTTAGGGTTTAGGGTTCAGGGTTTAGGGTTTAGGGTTCAGGGTTTAGGGTTTAGGGTTCAGGGTTTAGGGTTTGAGGGGTGGGGTGTATACAGTGTATCCAGAGATTTTCCCTTCTTAGTCCGGTCGGAAGCGGAAACTCTGAGTAGTCTATCCAAAGGTCCAGGTGATTCGTGGGCTCATCAAGCAGCAGGATGTCGCAATCCCGCATCATCGCCTCAGAACACCGGAAAAGGCCAATACAAATACTGAAGGATTGGATCCTAACTCATAACCCCTAGACTCTAATTCATAGACCCTCAGCCCTAAATCCTAACTCATAAACCCTAAACCCTAAACCCCAATGGCCCTTTCTGTAAGGAGCCCAGGTTCAGAGTCTACCCCGTCCGTCGTGCCGCTGGCGTCGTCTATCGGCAAATGCCGGAATCCGGGTTCAGGAGTGTTTAGGTTTCAGGAGTTCCTTTAAGGGTTCCTTTAAGGGCTCCTTTAAGGGCTCCTTTAAGGGATCACTATAAGAGTTTAGGGCTTAGGGTTCAGGGTTTAGGGTTTAGGGTCTAGGATGCCAACAGCCTGAAACCGCATAAAACTCGTCTCACCAGCGTGACATAAACTAGCCAGGGTGGACGCACGGTTTAGGGGTTTAGGGTTTAGGGTTTAGGAAGTTTAGGGATAGGACATGAACCGGGAAAACCCAGGACTAAACCCGAAATCTCAAACCCGAAACTCTCCAAACCCTTACATCCCAAACCCGAAACCCTGAACACTTCCAGCAGACACACATGGCAGCCCTTAGAATAACCCTCTCCCAAACCCTTGCAAAAAAAAAACGTAAGACCGGGCTCTTCGTCAAACCCTAAACCCTGAAGTCTAAACCCTCCGGTCTAGGGCAGCCGGCCGAAGCCAGCAGGAGCTTCATGCGCCAGCCGCCGGAGAGCTCATTCACCTCGGCTGGGCCCCCGCTGATCCTAAAGAGTTCCTCTAAGAGCTCCCATAAAGCTCCTTTAAGGGTTTATGTAGAACGGTTCCACCAAGGAACTGGATAGATAAGGCTGTCCTAACCCTTTCATGGACTCTGAGTAAGAGTCATATGAGGAACCCTAAACTCCTAAACCCTAAACCTAACGTTTATAGTCCTTTCCATGGACTCTGGGTCAACATATGGGTAGTTCTCTAAATTAATTAGGGTCCCTACTATTTAGGCCCCAATGTAGTACGGCACCCGTATAAAAGGGACCCTAAAAGGGACCCTAATTTAGACAACTACCCAAAGGGGGGTTTCCCAAAATAGGGGCCCCTAATATAGTGCCCTAAATAGTAGGATCCTTATTATCAGGACCCCAAAATAAGGTACCCCGAATTTTCGGAAAGTCCCATATGAGGAACCCCAACCCACAACAAGCAAACAGGATCCCGGACGTTCGACTTCGGGCCTCGCGCCAAAGCAAACGACCGAAGGCGCCCATGATTGACAAAAAGCTGTCTAGGGTTTAGGGTTTTTTAGGGTTTAGGGTGTTTTGGGGTTTAGGGTGTTTTAGGGTTTATGGTTTTTTAGGTTTAGGGTGTTTTAGGGTTTGGGTTTTTTAGGGTTTAGGGTGTTTTAGGGTTTAGGGTTTTCTAGGGGTTAGTGTGTTTTAGGGTTTAGGGTTTTTTTAAGTGCAGTGGGACTTTCTCCGCATGAGAGTCTCAGCCGTTAAGCTTGCACTAAATAAAAACCTCAATCCGCACTCAGCATGCCACCGTTTAGGGTTGGGGGTTGAGGGTTTGGGGTTGAGGGTTTAGGGTTTAAGGAGTTTAGGGTTGAGGGTTGAGGCTGTAGGGTTCAAGGATTTCTAGGTTCTAGTGAAGGGCTTGTAAGTTCACCCCGAACCCCAAAGACCCCCTGGGTCCCCGAAAAGCCTCCCTAAAAACCCTACACTCACTTAAGACCCCTAAGCCGTGAACCCCAAACACCTGCATCCCAAACCCTAAACCCTCAATCCCAGTGGCAGACTTCGTCTGCATTTCCTTGGGGAAGCCCACTTCCAACAAAGCCGCCTCGCAAAAGTAACGACGGGGATAATGAGAACGCTCACGATGATGATGTTGGTAGCAGCAGTATTGGTATCAGCAGTTGGTGCTCTATTGTTTTAGCAGCGCTATGAACTTGTAATAGTAGGAGAAGTTCCTGTTGCTCTTGCTGTTGCTGTTGCTGTTGCAACTTCAGGATGACGAACAGCAGCAGGACCACCACCACCACCAGCACCATCAGAAACATTGGTGAGGTTCTAAACAATAAACATAGTCATAATATAACTTTTGCACCAGCCATGGCATCCGCAGTCACAGCACTGGTCATGGACATAGAGCGGCAACAAAGAAAGCTGCCGCAGTGATTGTCGCCATCAGAAGTAACCCCAACCATCTTAGAGGTGCGCTGCAAACGAAATGAGTTGGCGCAACACTCTGAGGCCAAGCCTCAGTTCGAACTCAGGTCTCCTACATGAACAAACATGCTTTGCGCACCGAACCTGGCGACCCCCTAAACCCTAAACCCTGAACCCTAGCCCTAAACCGCAAACCCTCAAGGAAAAACCGAAATGCCAAAAAAACGAAGCTCTTGCCCCTGAGCAGGAAGCCCAGATCGGACTCGACACAACTCCGAGGTTTTTCAGGAGGCTCTTTAGGGTTTAGGGTTTAGGGTTTTAGGGCTTAATAGGGTGTAGGGTTTAGGGTTTAGCAAGGAGTCCTTAACCCCTCGAAGCCCCCCACAATTTTCCGCCAATGGCCGAGAGGAATCAAACACTGCGGGAAAAAAGGGGCTTCGGCTTCGGGGCTGGGGCTGGGGCTTGGAATCGTGATTCCACCCCCCCCCCCCCCAAGTCCCCTCCTGCATGTCGTCGTCATGCACCTCCTGCTCAGGCACGTGGGGTGCCGGTGGGGTGCAGGTCTTGATGGGAGAAGCAACCAACTCTTCAGATCGTGTGGGGTAAGGCGGATAAGGAACTAGCCCTGCATCCATTTCTGCGCTGCAAACCCACCAGCTGGGGGTTCAGGGGTTTTTTTAGCTTTAGGTGTCGTGATTCGGCCTTAGGCCTCCTAAACCCTAAAGCCTATAAAGCCTAAACCCTAGGGCTAGAAGTGCTCCTGATGCTTGAGCTCCCTGCTGCAGAACTGGACGGCATTGAGGTCGCTGGCTTCTACCAGGACCTGCAGGCACAAAGCTACCTTCTTCAGTCGAATGTAGGGGCCTTAATAAGTAGAAATAGGGTTTTGGGCTCCCTTCTCGTACAATCATAATGAGATCATAATGAGGAACTCCCAAGATAGTATCGGTAATGATTCAGGCTCCAGTAGTATACTCATTTGCAGGGTCGCTGTAGGGTGCCATCCAAATTAGGGCTTCTGTAGACGTTTCTCATCGCAAGGCCTCTCGAACGGGACAGGCACGTAGAATTGCGTATTCGGTACGACTTTTCCAACTCGGCCAGAACCCCGCAAGTGAGGGTCACTCTAAACTGCCATACCCCATGAGCTCTCCAGGGGCTCCTTGAAATCAAGTTTAAGGGTTTAGGGGTCTAGGGTTTTGGGTTTAGGCAACACAAGACTGCAGTTTGGGGTAGCCTGAGCCCCGAACACTAAACTCGAGACTCAGAATCAAAACACCGCAAACCCAGACCCTAAACTCTCAACATAAGTCTCTCTATCTGTCGGCATACTCTTTGCTTTTTGTCTTAACAAAACAGCCCAGCAAGCCCTGTATAGTTTAGACTTTTGTCCCAAACACCTTAAAGCATGAGCAGCGCGAGAGTTTTGGCTTCCTGGTTGTGCATCCATGCACACAGCCCTAAACGTTTCAACCCTGAATCAGCCTGCAAACCTCTAAACCCCGAACCCTCACGGCCCCAAACTCCCCCCCAACTGAAACCCAGAACCTTGAACCCGAACCCTGCACCCGAGCCCGACCCCAACCCTATACCCTTGCTCCTTAACCCTAAAACCGAAAACCCTAAACCCTAAAACCCTAAACCCTAGTCCTTAAGCCCTAAAACCGAAAGCCCTAAACCTCAACCCTAGAACCCTAAACCCTAAACCCCAACACCGAAAGCCCCAAAACCTCTAAACCCTAAAACCGAAAGCCCTAAAACCGCATGCTTCGTGGGGTCTTTGGGAGCCTCCGGCTTCACGTGCAGTGTCTTCACATCTGCGGACATCCTGGGTTCAGGGTTAACGGGATTTAGGGTGTAAGGATTTAGGGATTTAGGGAATTAGGGATTTAGGGATTTAGGGTTTAGGGATTTAGGGTTTAGGGCTTAGGGTTCAGGGTTTAGGGGTTTGGTGGTGTCGGGGTTTGGTTTAGGGGTTTGGGGGTTTAGGGATTCAGGGTTTAGGTGAGGGTTCAGGGGTACAAGGATCCACGGCTTAGAGAATAGGGCTACCAGCCTTTTGGTGATTCGAAGCTGTTTGTTTTAAAGTCTGAGGTTTGATCGGGTTTGTGGGTTTAGGATTTAGGGCTACAGGGTTTTGTTTTAGGGCCTGGGGTTCAGACAAAGCTTGCACTTCTCAGGGCCTCGGTATGTCAACTTGAACTCGGAACCGAGCAACAAGCTTTTTGCGGGCTCGAAACCTGACTTTTAAATCCTCAACCCGAGCCCACACACACCCAGAATCACGCAGAACGTGGGATGTTTAGGGCTCAGGGTTTAGGGTATAGGGCTTGACACTATACCCCTCAACCACTTAGGCCCCCTTAAACCCTAAACCCTAAACCTGAAACCAAAAAATACAACAGTGCCCGGGCGCCCAGAGACTCCACGCGCGGCGATGGTGCTCATCAGCGTAGTCTTGCCAGCGCCGTTTCGGCCGACCTGGGTGTGTCTATAAACTGGCTGCGTGTACTTTGCATCAGCATACAGATTATCTGAAAACAGTTGCGTATCGCTGCGTAGAAAATGCCCATATTCAAGCAATATCTTCGTCACGCATATATAAATGTCCGTACGTTTGTGTTTAAATTCATGTTTACGTTCGTATCTATGATGCATGTATAAACACATAGATGGGAGGATAGATGGATGGATATATGATGGAGGATATCGCGGGTTGGTTAAACTAAAGGGCGTTGAAGTTAGGGTTCTGCAGGATCTGTATGGCTTTGGTACTAGCGCTAGCACTACTGACGTCTACGACAACCACTACGACTGCGACTGCGTCTGCGGCTTCAACTGCGACTACGACTTCCAGAAATACCATTGCTACTGAAATCGAAGCAATGACAACGCCTATGGCACTGATCACAACTGAAAAAGCACCTCAGCCCCCGGCGACGCCGTATCTTCGGCCTCGACGAAGGTCCAGGATAGCGTCCTTGAGCAGCATGTGGCCACCTGTTGTCTCAGGCTTTCGGGCCACGGGTAGTTCTTAGAGTCGAGGAATGTTTTTACGGTTTGAAGCCTAACGCAGAATTCGGGCTTTAGACGCAGCTTACCAGGGAATTGGTGCTTGAGGTGAAAATTTGAAAAGCCTTCGGGTTGATGAAGGCTGGACAGGATGCAGGGCTGCCAGCGGCTGTAAGTTGCAAGGATGCGGCTAGCTGAGAAAGACTTTGTCCATCTGGTGCGGAAGTCCTTGTTGGAACCCTTATAGTGACCTATAGTAACCTTTTGGTGGCCTTATGGAACCTTATAGTAACCTTTTGGTGACCTTATAATACCCTTAAAGTAACCATAGGTAAACTTCAGGTGGGGTGGTCGAACAGACTGCGCGCAGGGAGCCAACTACTCCTTGTTCCGCGTAAGAATCGGAACCGATGTAGGGTTGGGTTCAGGGTTTAGGGTTTTGATTTGGGGTAAGAATAGAAACCGGGGCACAATCTAGACCATGCTCTGGCCAGCATAACTGGAATTCAAGATCCGCAAGACGTTCAATATGGGGGGAGGGAATCCTGCGACATGCTCACTGCGGGAGGGCTCCACAGATGTAACATACGAAGCCCTGAACTCTAAACCCTTAAACCTGAACCCTGACGCAAAAGTTATGGAACCTTCAAGAACAACAGGAAAAGAGACCATAACCGCGCTACGAAACATGTTATTGAGCCGAGCCCAAGCCCTGCGAGGACAGCTGGTCACTCTCATAGGCTGAAAAGTATGGGGCCTATACCCTCATACTGCGGTTGATGATACAAATCCTGCATTACCCATAATAAGGAATATACCAGAATTCCCATAGTTTAGGGTCCTTAAGGTAATGCAGGATTTATGTCATCAACAGATTGATTCCCTATATATGGTATATGAACCCTCAAAAACCTTGGTGTGGCCGCGCCTCCATACATCATCCGCAGGCCTTCGAGGTAGATCAGGGAGTTCTCGGACCTCCAAGGTTTAGGGGTCTAGGGTTTCGAGATTTCGGGTTTAAGGTTTAAGGTTTCTAAATTTAGGGTTTAGAGTTTAGGGTTTCGACGTGTAGGGTTTTGGGGTTTAGGGTTTCGACGTGTATGGTTTAGGGTTTAGGGCTTCGGCTCAACCCTCAAAGCTAAACCCTAGGCCCGAAATCCTAAACCCTCAACCCTAAACCCCAGGCCCGAAACCCTAAACCCTAAACCCTCAACCCTCTATGAGGGCTCTGCAACGGTTCTACGAGGCCTGAGGGCTCCCGACCCCAAACCCTAAAGCTAAGGGCTCAAGGGACGTTATCGTACTGTGGATGATATAAATCCTGCATTACCTTAAGGACCCTGAACTATGGGAATTATGGTGGATGATATAAATCCTGCATTACGTTAAGGACCCTAAACTATGGGAATTATGGTCTATTACTTATTGTGGGAAATGCAGGATTTATACCATCAACCATAGGATTCTCGTGGTGTCTCGGTCGCGGCCTCCGGCTGATGTGTTCCTCCTCCTGCTGGTCCTCGACCCCCTCCTCGGCGATGAAAAGCATGAACCATATCGGAAAGAGCAAAGAAGGAATCTAGTCGAAGGGCCTCGATAGACAGAATAGGGTCCCGAGGCACATTATGCTAATTTTTGTAGCTATACATCCTGAAATAGGGGTTGGGATGTAAGCTGCAGTTGTCCTCCCTTTCGACCTGCTCTTTCCACCGCCATCACCACTAGAACGACAAATACAATCAGGTGGTAGTAGACCACAGGCTGCGGACGGAAGCAATGGCAGGGTTAACAGTGGTAAAGTGGGAACACGGACGTCGCTCTGTCCCAGCATCAGCATACCCGATGCCAATACCATCAACATCATCATCATCGTCGTCATCATCACCATCAACATCATCATAATCATCATCACTGGTAACACCACCACCACCATAAATTAGTATTAGCAGCACCCGCCAGTGGTATCGGCGCGTTTGTCCGGATCACCCTTCTTCCTACGAAGAAGCCCTACACCCTAAACCCTAAAAACCGAAGACGCCGAAGCTCGAAGACCTTGTCCAGGAAGGACTTCAAGCCAAAGGCGGCAATCGCACTGCCTGCCACACCAAACCCAGGTGGCGAGTTCTCGGCTCGGGCTTTAGGGGTTTAGGGATTAGGGGTTTAAGGGTTTCGGGTTTGGGGATTAGGGGTTTAAGGGTTTCGGGCCTCGGGTTAAGGGTTGTCGGGTTTAGGGGTTAGGGATCAGGGTGTAAGATTTAAGGGTTTTGGGGGTTTCAGGTATAGTATAGGGTAGAGGGCTTAGGGTCTGGAAAGCTTTGAACCTTGCGGGAATAAGAGGCCCCGGCGCCCAAAAAAAACAACTTGGCGGTCTTATGGCTTTGTCAGGGTTGCCCGAAACCTATCTTCGCTCCACGTTGCACAATCTCATTCTGGATTCTGGTGAGAGTCTACACCGAAAACCCATCAGGAAGCCCTAAACCCCAAACGTCTAAAGTCAAAACCCTAAAAACCCTCCCTGCAGCATAGTTCCTTTCCCTACAACCCTAGCCCCAAGACCCCAAACCGTGAAAGCTACCTACCACAAGGTGGGACGCGTTTGCTTGGCAGAGCCTTGCTATATCTATCTACCTACCTGCCTGCCTGCCTACCTACCTACCTACCTATCTACCTGACTATCTATGTATCTATCCATCTATCTATCTTTCCTTTCTATCCCGCGTGGCAGTTGGGCCCAAAACCGCGCATCAGCCGTTCAGCCGATCAGCCGATCAGCTGATCGGCTGATCGGTGATCGGCTCATCGGCTGATGCGCAGTTTGGAAACGCACTTTGCGAGCACAATGTATCTATATACACCCTAAACCCTAAACCCTAACCCCCTAAACCCTAAACCCACGACATGCATACTCCTCTCGTCGAAGCCGAGCCACCTGCGGCATCCAAGTCCTTCTTATCAACCAGCGGTCTCAGCTCCTGTGCGGCTCTAGGGCTTAGTGGGCTTTCGGGGGTCTAGGTTTTGGGTACCGCTAGGGTTCCAGAAGGGTGCTACACGGATGTTGTGCGGTCTTGTTCGGCTTCCGTCAGAGTTTTAGGTAGGATTTGAGGTGCAAGGTCTTCGGTTTAGGGACTTCAGGGTGTTCGGGCTTTTCCCCCGATAGCCTCCTGCTTGATGACGGAGCAATCGTTAACAAAAAGATATCCGAAACATGATTAGCTACAATGTACTGCGAGCCAGGGTTTCAAGGTGTTGGCAGAAGCTGAGGACTTGTTCAACAGCGCTTGGCAGTGTTGAGGCTTCTTCTCAGGGTATGGTGTATGACTTCAAGACAAGAAAATTCGAAACCTTAACAAACACCCCTAGGAGCCAACCCAAAGACTAAGAAGAACCTCTAGGAAACCCTGAGAAAGACCTGATGAACACCCAATATGGGAGTTTCCGAAAATTAGGGGTGCCCTATTTTGGGGTCCTTTATAAAAATAAGGATCCTACTATCTAGGGTACTTTATTAGGGTCCCCTATTTTCGTAAACCCCCTTACCAACCGCGATTGGAGGTCGCTCCTCTTCGATCGCCTCGTCGGCACCGTCGCGCGTCTTCGATTCCTCACCCGATCAGAAACCAAGACACGCAGGCTAAGGGGTGACGCATCAAAAAAAAAAGATAAGCATCTAAAGGATTTTACCACGGTAGCCATCAACAAAATGATAGGCATCAACAACAAATTTGCTTGGAGGGTTTATGGTTTAGACGGTAGCCATGTCAAAAAAAAACAATTGATAGGCATCAAGAAAAAATTGAATGGCGGGCTTAGGAATTTTTAGGGTGTTCATCAAATTTTTTAAGATGCTTATCAAATTTTTTAGATGCTTATCAAATTTTCGTTTGATGCCTATGCTCAGGCCTTTGGGGCTTGAGGGTTTAGGGGTTTTCGGGGGCTTCGGCCTCCGCACTTCCATAGGCCCTTAGGCTTCTGAGTTCTAGGATTCAAAGGTCTAGGGTTTGGGGTTTAGGGGTTTCGGGGTTTGGGGGTGTAGGGGTTTAGGGGTTTAGGGTCTAGGGTTAGGGTTTAGGGTCTAGGGTCTAGGGTTTAGGGGTTTAGGGTTTAGGGCTTTAGGGGTTTAGGGATAGGGCTTTAGGGGTTTCAATCTGGGGGATTTCTGAGAGCCTAAGGGTTTAGGGAGCTCAGGGTTGATGCGCTTAGAGGCTCGAGCTCCAGTCGAAGACTTTGAACTTGAGATGTTCTTGGGTTTAGGACTTTGGGTTTAGGGTTAAGGGTCTAGGGAGTCCTTGGTTTTTTTGGTGCATTTAGAGTTTAGGGTATAGGGACTCCTTTTTTGAGGTTTGGGGCCTTAGGGTTGAGGGTGTGAAGCTCCGGGGCTCTGGAGGGTGATGGATGAAGGAACCCCCCTTCCGGCGAGGATCCTAATACTACGACAGGATCCCTCCCGTAACCCTCGAAACTAAACATGGAGCGGCTCATGAGTGGTAGGTGCTTCGGGCCTGATTTTTCGGGTAATACCCATCCAAGGTGCCATGCAGCAAGAGATCAGGACGGTGCAGATGTACTTGCCTGGGTTCTGTCATGGGCTTTGGGTCTCAGGCAGTACCAGACCAGGGGAGGCTTTGCCCTGAAGCCAAAGCGCAAGACCCTAAATTTAGACGCCCAACCCTCCATGTGACTAAACCTGCAAACCTGATAAGCATATTAAACAACCGCAAGCCCTAAATGCCGAACCTTCACCCCCAGAACCTTCGGAAAGGCTCCACAAACCCTCGAAAACTAGATGGCGCACCCCCGAAACCCCCAAAACCCTAAACCCTGAACCCTAACTAAACCCTCAACCCTAAACCCTGAACCCTGAACCCCAGACATTAAAACCCTAAACCCTGAACCCTAAACCCTAAACCCTGAGCCCTGAACCCTAAACCCTGAACCCTGAACCTAATACTTCAAAACCCTAAACCCTACACTTTAAAACCCTAAACCCCAAACCCTGAACCCTAAACCCTGAACCCCGAACCCAATACCCTGAACCCTGAACCCTAAACCCTAAACTTCAAAACCCTAAACCCTAAACCCTGAACCCTAAACCCTAAACGTCAAAACCCTAAACCCTGGACCCTGAACCCTAAACCCTAAACGTCAAAACCCTAAACTTTAAAACCCTAGACCCCAAACCCTAAACTTTACAATCCTAAACCCTGAACCCTGAACCCAATACCCTGCCACTCCTCCCCAGTCCCGTCCAAGGCTCTGAGAGGCTCTGGGAAGCTGAGCTCTGCAAGGCCCTCCTCGGACCGAAAATGGGTAGTTCCCTAGAACTTCCTCTACAGCATACTAAAGGTATTAGAGACACCGGTACGACTAAGAGTACTACATGGGAAGTTCTCTAGATCAGAGTCCCTTTCTCCAATATAGTATGGCACCTTTATAAAAGGGACCCCAAAAGGGGCCCGAATTTAGAGAAATACCCAAACACAGGGCTGATGGGGCTTTGGCTTTAAGGCTTTCGGTTTAGGGGTTTTGGGTTTAGGGCTTAGGGTTTAGGTTTGGGGCTTTAGGGCTTAGGGTTTAGCTGTAGGGCTTTAGGTTTTTCGGTTCAGAGTTGTTGGGTTTTGGGCTTAGGGTTTCGCTTTTGGGGCTCAGGTTTTGGGGTGTGGCCAGAAACTTGGCTTTTCGCAGTGTAGGTTTAAGGCTTGGGGTTTAGGGTTTAGGTGCACGGCGTCCTGCTTCTCCATGAAAACCCAGCAGAATTGGCCGCTCAAACCAAACCAGACAAGCATACCCTGTCAAAACCATAGACAAACTCTGTGAGGGCACATAAACACCCTGCAAGCCCCCCTTCCCAAAAAAGCTACAAAGCCTAAAAGCACCGTGTAAATGCTCTCAAGCAAACCAATAAAAAATTAAACCAGCATAATTAACGCAAAGCCCTATAAATCCCCATCCCACGAATTGCGCATAAAGCTCCCAATATCCCACCCTGAAGCAACTCCTTGCAAAGCAAAATTATAAAAGACAGAAAAACCCTCATCGAATACCAAAAAGCAAGTTATATCAAAGCAAGTTATTGAAACCTTCCATGAACCCCAAAACAAAAACCATTCTGCCAAAGCAAACCTTAAGCCATTTAAGCCCTATCAAAGCAAATCAAACCACCAAACCCGATTAACCTAAGTCCAAAACCTTAAATCCCTGCCTCCTAAACCCTAAACCCAAAACCCCGAAGCCCTTTCCTCTAACCCCCTAAACCCCCTAAACCCCCTAAACCCTAAACCCTTATACTATACCCTAAACCCTATACTATACCCTAAACCCTAAACCCCAAGACCCCAAGACCCCTAAACCTTGAACCCTAAAACCCCTAAAAACCGCAAAACCCTAAAACCCTAAACCCCAAGACCCCAAAAAAAAAAAACGCAGGGCGCGGCCTTCGCCCGGCTTTGGAGGAGCTGCGCGCGGAGCGGCGGCGGCTTCTCGGCGGCCTCCCGCTCCGCCTGGCCATGGGTCACTCAGGGTTTTAGGGGTTCC